AAGGTGAAGGGTAAGTGTGGGTGGGGGCCCACGGTCCCCACAAAGCTGTCATTGTAGTATGGGCTGGCTGCCCCTCACCCCCACGCCATCCTGCACCTGTGACTAACTATCTCCACCTAACCCAACAAGCCCTACCAAAACTACAAAGCCAGAGGCACCCTTATGGATGCCTTTCCCTACCAGCATAGCTGTCTTTCAGATAAGTGCCCTTCCTAGGAAACAAATAATATGCTATCCTACATTATCCCTTCCTCCTTTATGTGAACATCCCACACCAAACCTACAAGAATTATTAAGGTATTAATGGAAGGCATGTATTATTGCCGATCCATATTAATGCTTGCTACTCACTCTCCCTAGGGAGACCATTCTCTTGTGGGAAACATCCATTTGATACAAGATGCAACATGCATGTATGGCGCATTTTAAAAACACTTGGTTGTTTAACAAATCTTATGAAGAGATTTTTGATTAACTTCACAAATAAATGTTAGTAAAAAAACACTTGATTTTAAGCACAAGACGGTTGAATTAATAATCACTTGATGAGGCTGAGATAGATAGTGGCTCCTCATCATGTGTGAAATGTGAATAATGTCATATCATTCGGACTGAAAAGTCAAATCAGAAGAATTAGGTGTTAGACTTTCGAGAATATTTCAGAAAAATCCAGTGAGAGTATATACATATATATATATATATACACACATATGCATTCATCTCTGATCTGTAAGCTTTATAGCAGCTGAACTCTTGTCAGTTTCACACCCATTCTTCCAAACCAAACATATTTTCTGTTCAATTATTGCTTTTTAAACTCTTTTTCTGGTTTTGTTTTTTTTTTCCTGTAACTGGTTTTTCTTTTACAAAACAAAAAGAGAGGAGACCGGACCAATTATATACTCTCAATACACATATTGAATATTTAATGTGGATTACCATTTTCATAAACAAATTACAAATACATAGCAAATATGAGTCTTATATATTCTTTTATGAAAAAATAAAATTAAATATAATATATATATATATATATATATATATATATACAAAGATGTAAAGATTATAGATTAGTAAAAAAAATTTAATCTAATTTCCATCTTAAGAGAGTGAAATATGAGTTTTTAAATGTAAAAGCATACATTGATACACTTTAAAGTTCAATTTATTAATTAAATGATTAAAAAATGTACGTTACTTCAAAAAATTACATCAAGAGTAATTTACCTCTTTAATAAATATGTGATAATAATTATGAAATAAGTAATCACAATATAAAGAGAAAATTTTGTTTCTGTATAAATAAATTATAATGATGTATTAATTATTTTTTAAATAAATAGTTAATAAATATCTTTAATTAATATCTTATCAATACATTATTATAATTCTTATTTTAATAAATAGAATAAAAATTGAAATAAAAATGTATTTCAGTACTAATAAATAATAAAATAATTATAAAAATTAATGATTTGTAAATATCACTTCTCAGCACAATTAATAATAACTTTGGTCTGCCATTGTTGCAACCAGAAGGTATGTAAAATTATGAGATGAAACCGTAATATAAATATATTCTAATAATTAATAAATAATAATATTTAAATTAACGTTTTTTAAATAGTAGTTATCTTTATAATAACTAAACAAATATTTTTAATTAATATATATCAATTACTAATCGGTAACATTATTTATAATAATTTGTATTAATATTTTATCTCTAAATTACAATTTAATTAATATAAAAATATAAATAAATAAATATTACATAATAAATTAAGTAAAGAAAAAATATTTTAAATTTTCATTTCTTGTTAATTAATGTTTAATTATTATTTTGTATCGTATCATATTTGGTCGTGTAAATATTTTTTGAAAGAAAAAATTAAAGGGGATCCATCACATTAATGGTATGTGAAATGAATATAAGATAATGTTATGCAATATTTAATAGATTGTTGTAAATAATTGATATGAAAATAATAATATTATAAGAACATATAATAAAGTTAAATAATACAAAAAACAATCATACATTTATCTTTGTGTATGAAAATATAAAAAATTAGAAGAATAAAATGTATATTTGTTGATAATTAAGGAGGAGGAAAATGCTACAACAAAACTTATGAGATTATTGAGTTATAATATTTCACTTTTGGTAGATATTTCGTACTATTATTCTTGGTTTCAAATAATGGGTTGTATAGTTGTGTGCGTACAAGGGTCTTTTTGCCTCGACGACATATATAATATATATATATATATAAATTAAATTGAAAAGCGAAAGGCATGTACAAAGCTAAAACTAAAAAACGAGATTAATTAATTTACTATCACTATAATTAAGTTTATAATTAAATCTTAAATCACTCCTTCATAATTTTCTATATTTTAATGCACCACATTTTTTGGATTGTTTCGAATGATATTAAATAAAATATATTTAACATGAAATTAAACTAAAAACATCGAAAATAGAATTAATTTAATCTGATCCTAATTAGGTTAATTTTAGAATAAATTAACTTAAGCTAATCACGCATGAGGAGTAAACTTTAACCATCAGTCGTAGCAAGTAGAAACACTATAAATTATTTGGATTTTCCAGTCTCATAAACCACAATATTCACATTCCAAACTCGCAAAGTTGCCACCTCACCTCGTGCATGGCTGTCACGTAACGTGCCACCTCAGCACACAGATGTTTTACTTTTTACTTCCCAATCAATCAATCAACACGTACATACTCCAATGCACACATCACCAATATACAATATTACTACATCCAATATCAATCACCATTTATAATTATTTCCACTTTGCAAATACTTGAAAATTCAATTACGTCAAACTAAACATCATTACATCTCCAATCTTTGAAAGGAAAGGAAAGGAAAGACTTGCAAAATATATATATATATATATATAGGATTTGAAATTCTAAAAATCAAAACAATCGACAATAGAGCTTCATACGACTAAAGTACACACCAAATTTCTCAAAGCATCTCTGTTCCTACTGATGAGATATATATACGGTTTGGTGACCCATCATCCCGTATGTACACATTCAATTCTCACCGTCGATCCATCGTCATCTACATCACTAGCTCATTGACCCACTCGAGATCTACATCCGGACAACCCGACCCATTCTCGTTATCATTATTGATGCCCAATATCTTTTCGTAATCACCGCTCCCATGTTGTCTAGAAAAATTTTCATCAAATAAATCTCCAGACCCACTACGACCAATGGGCGTGGATGGTGAAAGGTTAACCAACTGTTGTTTTTGCTGTTCAAAATCTTGATACCCATTGAAGCAAATCTCAAGCCAAGGAACATCTATACTTGAACTGCTGTTGCTGCAATTACCACCAGGCAGGGATAGAGGGGAAGGGGAAGTCGTCGAAGGAGGAGAAGAACTAGACAGGACTTCGTTAATCGTCATCGCCTCTAAAGAATTCTTCAATTCGCTCAACATTTCTTTGTAGCCTCCCACCCCGATCTTCTTACCCAATCGGTCGCTGTACCGTGAAAAAGGTGAAAACACAGCAGCCGTACTCGCTCTACGCTCCTTCACCGGCGACAGAGGCGGTGACAAAGACGGTGATCGTGACAGATGAGACAGACCCAGTAAAGTACTGGTGGGTGACTCACTCACCGTTCGACAAAACAAGCAACAGCAACTCGGAGTACCTTTGCTATAACTATTACCGTTAGTCTTGATGTGATTCGTGATGGGAGATAGATAGGAATTAGAGGTACAATTAGATCCTAAAACCTCTGGTAAAATCCTGAGCTGGCGAGGAGAGTGAGCGAAGAAACAGACCTTACGCTTGCAGTTCTTACCATCCTTACAAGCTTCCGTCCTGTAACGAGAAGGATGCAGCCAGCACTCGAAGACTCCGTGAGCGAACTCACATTCGTCCCCCCGGCTGCAGCCGCCGCCTCGGCGGAACTCTGAGCAAACAGTGCCGGAATAGTGGAAACGGCGGGGATCTCGACGGCGAGCCTTCTCGCCTGGATGGGCAAAAGGGCAGTCGGTCCAGTCGTGGCTGCGACTCCTGGTGCAGCGGCGGACCTTGAACTCGTACATCCGGAAGTGGTCGGTGGAGTAAGGGTCGTCGGAATCGGAGTCGGAGTCGTTGTCAGTGGGAGTATTGCGAGGTAAGTGTTTGTTGAGCATGTTCGGGGAGTCGGGGGAAGGCAGTTGGTCATATGTTTTGTTGGAGGTGAAGAGAAGCTTTCTGGGTGGAATTTCAATGGTAGGTTTCTTGAGATGGTGGTGGTGGTGATGAAGGAGTTTGTGTTGCTCTGCACAAATCGTAGTCATGGTGATTCACAATTTCTTCTATATATGCTTATGAAATTGCCGTATATAAAAGGCAGCGGGAGAGAGAGAAGAGGGGGAAGAATCGACGAGGGTATAAAAACAAAGGGCAATTAAGGCGGCTCTTTATAGTAGATAAATACAATATAATATAATATATTTGAGACATATACATATATATACGCAAATATGGGTCTCTGTGTGTGTGTGTGTGTGTGTGTGTGTATATATATATATATAGAGAGAGAGAGAGAGAGAGAGAGAAGGATGAAGGGGAAGGTATGGGGAGAGGGACGCGTGGGCAGAATGCATTAGAAAGCGAGCATGCAAAAGGGAGGAGGTGGCAGCTCGACAATGCATGTAGCACACCATGGTTATGATGATGTGGCATTATTTTTGGTTTGGCCTTTTTTATTTTTCATTGGCTGCCTGTGAGGTGTCCATCATTGAGCCACCATTCTCCGCCACGTGTCCGTCACCCTTCCTTACCATCTTACATCTATGATCACATGTGTTCCCTGGTCACATGATATATAAATTGAGAAAATATTAATTTAATTGAAAAGAAATTGGGATTATTGTGGAGGAGAATAAACATGCTTGTTTCATCAGCAAACAAAAAGAAGAATCCGATCCAAGTAAAATACTTTGGATTTAGCTAGTATTGATAGTATTGATATATACCAAATTGTTTACGACATATACATATATATATATATATATATATAATTTAGAGGCTATTTATAGGGTGACGACATAACTATTTATGATTTAAGGACAGTCGTAATTCAAAATAATTAAATATAGAATAGGGTCCGTATCGTAAATAGAGAGTTGCGAAACCTGAAAGTTTTGTGGGCGGTTAAGTTTGCTAAGAAGATAAGAAAGAAAGAAAATCATGTTGGTTGACTAATTTATTATATAAAACAAAATTATATGGCTCGTCCCAGCAGTGATTTGCTAAGTATTTTTTGGTTCTACTGTTGTAGTGTGTGTGTGCGTGCCGAGGCAATTTCATATGTATATACAGAGGAAGAAGTAAGAGGTGGGCTTATTATATGGATGGGCCCAATTAATAAGGTGATGAATGGCAAAAGTTGACTAATGAGCTCCAAAGCCAGTTTAAGTCAAATCTACATATACATATATATTACTCTTAAACATAAAAAAGTAATTTATCTTATCTTGCTTCACATAATTGGTTGATATAGATGAGCAGTGCAGGAAATTAATGGCTTTATAACGTAAGTAATTGTCAGGAACTTAATAACATGCGTTGCATGAATAGACTGGACTGGATAACATTCGAGGAATAATACTCAAGTTAATTAAACTCGTCCGGCCCAAACCGACTAAAAAAGAGAACCAATTTTTAATATAACTATACAAAAGATATAATATTAATTAAAAGAGGATGGGCGGTGTCTGGGTTGGGGGTTCCAGCACTGCCCGCTCCTCCACAACGTCGTCGTCCTCCTATGCATTTTAAGCTACTAGCTTCCATGAAACACAACCTAGCTCCGTCCAAATCAATCAATACACGCCCAAGTTTTCAGATTATTAGCCCATCCACGACCCCCATATATATATATTCGACAACTTTTTGGTTGGTCCTATGTCACGTCCGACTTTGAATAATTTCCAGGAAGATCTTCCTTCATGATTATTTATGTTTTATATAACTATTTCAACAAATACTGTTTAGATTTACAACTTTTTGAATTATGCTGACTTAACAGTCAAAACAATTTCAATGTAGATCCCAATACTAGCTCATAACTCTGTTTTTCTTTCTTCTAAAAAAAGAGCAGGATCAAGTTTTACAATCAAAAAGCGTAATAGCAATCTCTACAAATTCCGGCAAACTTTTGAATAAGAAATAGAATACAAACACGGGATTAATATGCAAGGGGTGGCCACTTTATCAAAACAAAGTATCAATGGAATTTCACAACTATGCAGGATATATCATCCTTACTTTTCTTCGAAAGGGCCTCCTCAATCAAGTGCTTGGCTGCTGATTGAGCATCCTTCAAGTTCTTGATGCAGTCCACTGCTTCTTGATTTGTCATAACCTGTCCAGATTGAACAGTAAGCTTAACTCTCCCATCCTCCAGAGAAAACACAACGTGACAAAGAGCACATAAAGAAACTGACCTTCCATATCCCATCACTTGCAAGAATGATGAACTCTGTATTATCATCAATCACGTGCACTGTTACATCTGGTTCTGAACTAAGGTGTATCTTCAAGCTCTTGTCACCAAAAGCTCTTGCCACAGCAAGCTGTCCATCAACACGTGGAACATCTCCTGCAACAAATATAAAAATTCAACTTGTGTTTGTATACATCTTTTCATTCAGTGTCAAAGACAGGCTTATTAAAACCAGAAGGCTATTCTTACAATTTTTTTTTTTTAAAAAGAAAAAAAACAAAACTTGAACAAGAGTTTGTCGTATTTGTATCATTGAATGTACTTTACAAAGTAAGCACACGCGCACATAGATACACACACACACACACACACACACACACACACACACACAGACACAGAGATATGCATGTCTCCCTACAGAGTTCTTCATATAATTTGTGAAAGCAAAATAAGGCATTAATGTGAATGGCGGCATCCAAATGGCAATATTCCATCAGCTACTGAATTTTATAATTTCCTAAAGGGTTCCTTCATGTAAAAACCAGAAAATTTCAGCAGATAAAAACAAATTGAAAAAAATAATTTAACATGGAAAACTGGAATTACCATTTGTTTTGGTAAACTGTCTTTGACAATTTAAACTTCAAGAAGTTATTACCTGGAAGGTTTGATACAAAGCCACCACGGCTCTCAATCAACTTTTTTTCCTTGCTTGGCTCATGATCAACTGATAATTGTTGCGCAACCCCACTCTTACTGATGACAGCTCGAGAATCTCCCACATTAGCTACTACCAGCTTTTGACCATTGATCAATATTGCCGTTACAGCAGTAGACCCTCCTTTTCCTAGATGAAAAGATTTTTCCAATATTTCTGCATCTGTTGAACGATAAGCTCTCCTTATGGCATCCTCTGTCTCAGTCCAAAAATCTTTCTGCTTGCAGCAAACAAACATATGTTAAAAAATCCTGCAGAAAACTATATGACTACAAAGGCTGAAATGAAAGCAGACATAAAGGCAGTGAGAGAACCAAATCCAAGATATAATAAAACTATTGGATGTGAGTACCTCTTTCAAAATATTGTTAAACAGGTGAGATTGCAAGTAGTTTGCCACATCATGGCCTAAGTGGCCATCAAATATTGCAAATAAGCCCAGCTCATTATCTTTTACTCGCCTGAATTCAGAAACTACATAATCTTCCATTGGATGACTTGATTTTCCCTTTACCCAATGAAATCCGTGTGTGATATGTTTCGACATTTTGCTTTTCCCTTTCCCTGTATCAGGGGCTGATGAAGACAGCCCAGCCTTTACCTGCCAAGTGCACAACCATTTAAACCGAAGTTATGAGGACAATAATTTATCTAAATCACAAATCAAATTGTTAAAAAGAAACTTAAATGGAAGTTCATCATGTTCTTATGACTAATTAAGCTGAAGCAGAAGAAAGAACTAAAATTGACACTATATAAGTACCAGAATTTTCAGTAGTTTTCCAAAATATGGGTGCTGAAAACTTCTACAGGAAAATGAAGAATCAAACGCATCCCTTGTCTTTGATATTTGGCAAGGCGAATCACCTTGTCTGTGGTTCAATGAATTTTTTTTTTTTGGAGGAAATATGGTTTAATCATTATGCATCTAAGTTCTTGGATTAAATGTAAATCAAGGGTACTTTCAAGACCTGAATGCTGAAACATGCATAAACGATATGCTAGTTTCACAGTCAAAACCTGGGAACAAAACATTCTTTACTTCTCATGCATCGGAACCATTTTTAGTTAAATAAACAATTTCCTCATCTGATCCCCAAATGTAACACAATGTTTAATAGCATGCTTTAAAATAACAATATAATGAAAACCTTCTCAGTCACAATATAAAAGAAGCAACAACACATCTTGAATACGATGATTATGGTACAAATGGTTGCAGTCCAAAAATATCAATCAGGATAAAATTAATCAAGTGAGCAACAAAAATTGTTACCTTGAAGGCATGTGCAGAGTGTAGAGAAAAGACAGAAATATCAGTACAGTCATATGGCAATAACAGATGCAAGAACATACGTTAACCTACTTCTTAATTAACACAACGGCCAGATCAAAAAGTAATTTGAAGGAAGCTAAAAAAAATATTATTCTATTGTAATGCGAAAAAACAGCAGGTACAGAATCCACACACATTGGCTAAACTTAGAGTGAGAAACAAATCATTTTTATACATCCCAACCTCGGGTCAAGATTCAATTTGCAAACTGTCAATCCTTTAGTTCTTTGAAAACTGATTCTTTTCATAACTAAGTAGCAACATCATATGCATATGTACCTCACAAGTAAGACAATCTAGAATACATTCATGCAATAACCATGCACCAGTTCTTCTAAACTAAAAACATAAATATGCACCACTTACCACACACGTAAGTAAAAAGACCCCCCTTGTTAATAACAAATTGTTTCTAACAGTATACTTAAAGTTGATAAATTTAATCAGCACCTCAGCTAAAAAATGCTTGGGAATGGAACAGCCATGAAATTCCAACACTCTGTGACAGTGCGGTTTATAGCCAAACTCAGAAGCCAGTCCAATTACAAATTTTTTTAGAAGAGAATATATACATTTATTAATTAAGTAACGTACATATATTAATCGTTACACAACACAAATATAATCTTCAATCAAAAATATATAAGGGAGCACAGCCTAACTCAGAACTTGCAAACTCTTATAAAAGAATACACAAACCAACTATTAAACTAATAGCGGTTGGTAGTACAACTCTAAATTTATTTGCAAATAAATACTTGCTCATTAAAAGGGAAGACCATCTCCCTCACAATGACTAAAGTAAATGCAATACTCCCTGATCTGTGACATAAGACCTTTTTCTTTAAAAGCAAAGTATAACTAACCAAGCATTTATTTTATACCAAACAAGGACAAAACCGAGCAATCTTGAATTCATTTCGCTAACAAAGCATCAAAAGAAAACCTAAAAGAAAAAGAAATTGCATTTGAATTGCCACAAATAGAGCTAACACTAAATCCACGGAATAAAACACTATTTAAAGCCAAGAACAGTAGTATAAATAGTTGAAGGAGTCAACTACAGAAACCACAAACACACAAATCCCAAAGTGACTCCAGAGCTAAAACAAGCATTTAGAAGACAAATACAAACTCATCGCGTAACTAGAACAGCTGCGGCTATGTTAAATCAAAATAGAGCATAATCAAGATGAATTAGAGAGTAAGAGTGGCAGTTGAAAATAAAGTATAATCAAGAAGATGTGCGAGTGTGAAGTAGTTGTTGGTCCAAAGAAGTAGGAGGAAAGGGGGGACCTTCATTTTGTGAAGAATTTCTTTGCCAGTAGTCATGGCGATCCTGGTTGATTGGTAGAAAATCAAGAGTTCAGACTCAGAGTGGGACAGAGAGAGAAATGATTTGAGAAAGAGAAAGAGAAAGAGAGAGGGAGGGAGGGAAAGACAATTTATAAGAGCAGGTGAGGTGAGGAGACATCAAACTACAGGTGACGGTAACTTTTTCGCCCTCGTACAGCGTACTTTGAAAGGAACGCGTTCTTGCCGACGACTTTTCTTCTTTGTTTTATTTTTATTTTAAAAAAAAAAAAAATTAATACTCATTTCCCTGCTGGAGAGGAGAGACTTGGACAATCAATTATATTATAATCACTTGACTTTCTTCTTTTTAATATTAGGATTGATATAGTTTTTTTTTTTATATGAATTTTATTTAATCACACCTAAAATATTTTGATAAATAACAAATTTACAATTAACTAGAATCCCATATAATCTCCCACAATCAATTAAATTTTAATAATTAAACTCTCACATACTTCAAAACTAATTCAATATTATACTGGTTAAGCAAAAGTAAACTTTAATAATATATTTAACAATCAAGATTAGGATAATCAACATGAATATTAGATCAAAGTATTGTAGCATTAAAGAGCTTAATATAATTTTAACAAGTTATTTTCCTTATCAGTCATAATATGTATTTTTTTAATTAATTTACAACTTTTTTATATCAAAGTTTTTATCTATAAAAATTCCCTTTAAAATGTTGCTCTTTATATATTTTTTTTTATGAAAAATTATTTAAATATCATTCTTGAAGAAAATTTGTTAGAGTTGAATTTTAAATAATTAATTTTTATCTTTAAAATATAACAGAGTGTACTATAATATATTATCATCTTGAAATGTTATTTAGACAATATAATATGATAAAGTGTATCACTTTATAACATATATTCATACGACATGATGTAACAAAAATAAATTATACTATATTATGAAAATAGAAATATAATAATACTTAAATTAAACAATACACAATAAATTATTTCATAAACTAAATATAAATCTGTACATATAAATATATAAATTTATGTTAAGAACATGAAATTCTCATTGACATAACTTTTTAAAAAATACATTCGTGATTATATAAAAATTATATATTTTAAACTCATATAACTAAATTCTGATATCAATTCACTCATATAAATTTAAAATAAATAATAATATAAAATCAAATTTTATATGAATAATTTTTGGTTTTATAAAATAAAAAAAAATAAAGATAAAAATATTTTTTTAAAAAAAAAAAAAAAAGTTGTTGAGAAAACGGTGGTACATTTAACTTGCACATGATTAATTGATGGTCGGTCAAAATAGTCAGCTGTGGTTCATGGGCAAGTAAAGTGAAATAAGATTTAAATTAAATGTTTTTTTTAAAAAAAATAATAATAATTCATACTTATTGCTTAGTCTACCTTATTAAATTCTGGATAAGATTTTGTCCCACGTTGATATATTTTTTAAATCCATATAAATTGTCTAAGTTATGTGAATAACTTTGTATAGTTTATTAGTTGAGGATATTCAATTAATTATTAGGGCAATTTTACTAAATTGCAATTATTTATATTATTATTCAGTCACATGAATATTGTGTTTTATATTTGGCTATTATTATTATTATTCCTTGTCAATTTTTATTATCTTTTTATATAACTTGAAAGTTATTTTTTCCATGATTTTTTATTGTCATTTTTTGACCTATAATAGTTTTAAAATTATTAGTATCAAATTAGTAAAAATTAAAGATAATAACAAATAGTTGAAAAAAATAATAAAAGCATGTATGTACTAAATAATATTAAAACCATATCAATAATTTTTATAACTAAATTGCAATACGGGTGTCATTGATTTGCTTTAAAATTGAGTATAGTTGTTTTATTTCTCTAAAATTTTCCTAAATTTAAAACATGATAAAATCTAAAATAATAAATGAAAATCTATTATATTGATATGTGATACTCGACCCCAAAATTTGATCCAAGATTAATTTTGTTATTTTAAAAATAAATAAAAAATTAATTTATATTTAATTTTATTAAATTATTAAAAAAATAGGTTGGGATGTAATTGAAAGTAATTTTGAGAAAAATGGGTAAAAATTTGGACTCGAAAGATGTTTTTGAAAGAAAAATTAGAAATATGGGGTTAAAGTCCAAATAAAAAAAGTTCGACTACGTAGAACCGCCTAGTCAACAGTCTCGACGAATCTGAGCACGCCGCGTGGCACTGGAGACCACGCAGACGATCTGCATGCCCCACAATGGGACGATCGAGATCAATCGCGATGAACGACCCAGATCGACGCGGAATGGGTATAAATACTTGCGTCGCATAGCAACCCAAACCCTAATTGCTAGCCCCTGCCATAGAATAAGGCTGACCACTGACCACCACCGAGTACCCGCTCGAAGGTGGCAGCAAAAAACAAAAGTAAAAATTCTCCCTACCCACTCAAAATTCGATTCCGAGCATCCTTGTGGCCAAATCGGAGCAAGAGAGACAACAAGTGAACCAGAAACTGCAGGCAAAGCTCGGCGAAGCCGCTGCGGCCAAAACCCAAAAATCCTCCAAATGAACCCCCTCCCATTTCTCGTTTCATGCAATTTTTTTATCATTGTGCTCATCGTCATTTTCTATACAGGTTAGCCGAAGAAGGAACTCCAGCTGTGGAGAAGGACTGGCATAGCCGCAGTATCCGGTGACCCCCTTGCTGGTAGGTTTAGCGTTTTTAGTAATTTTTCGGCCAACCAAGACCCTTAATGTATTTTTCTGCAGCGATACGTATAAAATCAGCCAAAACTGGCAAAAATCAGACAGGCCGAAGTGAACCGTCACCGTGCAGGAACCCCAAAGTCAGCCAAAAAGAGTTTTGGGCATCAATTTTAGATTTTTGGGGTATTTTTAGGTACGTGACGAGTGTTTTACATTTTGCAGGAAAAATTCTGAAAATCTAGTACTCGTTAGGAGGTGTAGCAGACAGCGCAACGTTTTGAAACACCAATCCGAATAAGAATCTCTCATCCTATTCTCCGTTACTGTAAATTGAGGCGTAACGTTGCATAATTTTGTGTTTTTATAAAAAAGTTAGAGAACCCTCAAAATAATTACAGATCACTAGTAGAGTCGGAAACAGTTAGTTCACAATTGTCCTGATTTCCTATTTATTTTCTTATATTGTTCTATTTGTTTGTTATTATATAGTGCATATTTAAAATTTATATTTCTTATAGCCTTATCGATTTATCTGGCTTATTCGACTATATACTATCACCATAAATATAATTTAATTGATATGTAAATATAACATGAGATAGTGGTTTGCGTGGTTAGTTGTTTTGTTGATGAAAATCTTTATGTCGAAGACTTACTAGGTGTCCAGGGAAAGAGCGGATGGGACTTGTACGTAGGAAATCCTACCATTAACATTACCTCAATCGAATGGGACTAGAACGTCCCTTACCGAAAAGGTTTAGGAGATATAGTTTACCTTTATACCGGGTATCGAGGCAATGAAATGTTTGGCGTCCATTACCAGACGGGGTAAGGGGACAACTGGTTAATTGCTTAAATTGGATACTGAATTCACGAGTTGGAGAACATCCCTATGGACCCCCAGGGGTACCAGTAAGCAGGTAAAAATAGAATGTTATCGTCTCTTGTTATCTTAAGCATGAAAATAAAAAGTGGTATGAATATGAGTTTTCATAGGTTGTGTAAAGGTCCGGAACTTAAAAAGGAATAAATTATAAATTGAATGCAAAAATGAAATAATAGAGTTAGGGTTTACATTCCTTACACAATAATTTAGAATACCCAATAGGGTTACAGGAATGATCCTTCTAAAAAAACAAGCGAAAAATCAAGAATAAATAAAAAATAAACAATTAGGTATCATAGGACGACCTTCACTAGCCTTTGAAGGGAGTCCGGGTGGTGAACTATTCACAACCCCTTTATTGATCGGGATCTGGATCTTGGTCCTCTTGATCTGAAATAATTAATGAAATGGTGAGCTACACTAGTCCAATAAGAATGTCACACTACTCACTGATACAGAAATGATGGTTAGTAAAATCATAAAAACAACTAATAGAGCTCTTAATTTAAGTAAATTCATTTATCATAAGTAAAATCATTTATTGCATACTCACCGTTGCGAGATTTCCAAAACCAACCTATAGAGACAATAGTTCAACAACATCATAATCGCATATTCAAGTAAGAAAGAATAATAATTTTTTCTTTTTATTTGCCTACTGATATCCATGGAGGTCCATATAGATGTACCACTATGCGTAAACCAACATCCAACCTTGTCAACTAACCGGTCGTCCCCATACCCTGTCTGGTATGAACACTAAAATACTATCCCTTAATACCCCGTCTTGTATGACGGTGAAATGAGTTGTTCCCATACCCCGTCCGGTATGAGCGCTAAAATACTAATCATCGATACCTCGTCTGGTATGATGGTGAAACTGGCCATCCCCACACTCTATCCAGTATGAGCTCCAAAAATACTAATCCTTGATACCCTGTCCAGTATGAAGCGACGTTCACGGTAGGGTTCCCAATGTACCCGGTTCCTCCACCATCTCCCAAGATATCCAATAAGGCTATCATTTATTCATTCACTTAACCAATCATTTTTTCGTTTATATTTAATTTTCAGTTTTATAATTTAACTGTAAATCACACAAGACAAGCCATCCATGCATAAAAAAAACACAACTTAATCATCTTACAAATTTTGGTGTATTATCATGCATTTATAAAATCAAACAATCAGTTAAAACAGGACAAACATGAATAAATAACTGGTTCTGGCTCCATTAGTAATCTTTAATTAATTCTTGAAGTTTTTTAAATTACGCAAAATATTGTATTATTGATAATTAAACTTTAATTCCATAATAGTAAATAAGGTGAAGGA